GATATCTCTGGGGACCTCTGGAAATCTCCATCTGAAGGGGGCGTGAAGCATGCGCGACCTTACCGTTCGCGTGTCACCCTCTCCTTTCCGACCTTCCTCTCCAAACTCAAACCAGTCCAGCTTCCAATTTCGAGACTCGGTGCTCGAGCCTAGACGACACCAAGACGCGATGAGGACGAGGCTCAACGGGAAAAGAAAGAAACCGTCGTGCAGCGGCAAAAAGAGAAGACGGGCCAATGTGTTTCTGTTTTGTCTTGTCCTTCCTGGCCATCCGGGGGCCTCTGGAAAGGAAGAGGAGAGAGGGAGGAGGAGGAGGAGGAGGAGGAGGAGAGAGGGAGGAGGAGGAGGAAGAGGAGGAGGAGGAAAAGGAGGAGGATTAGAGGATGGAGGATGAGGAATATTAGGTGGATTGGGAGGCAGGAGGGACTCATATCTTATTGTTTTCATTCGAGTTTCGAGGAGGAGGAGGAGGAGGAGGTGAGAGGGAGGAGGAGAAAGAGGAGGAGGAGGCGGAGGAGGAGGAGGAGGAGGAAGCGGAGGAGGTGGAGGAGGAGGAGGAGGAGAAGGAGAAGGAGAAGGATAGGAGGAGGAGGAGGAGGAGGAGGAGGATGTGTCATCTTCTAGTTTGCCCTTCCTAGCCCTCTGGTGAACTTAGACGTTTGGAACGTTTGCGGATATCCTCAGGGGCAATGGCCGCCACGGCAGGCTCGGCCTCTGAATCTGGTCAGACAAGCTCTGGGAGATGGCTCTTGAGTGGGGCACTGGAGGAGGAACGGGAGGGCAGAGTACCAGGAGAAGGGGTGCTCAAGGGGTTCGAGGCGATAGCAGAAGCTCGATGCACCCTGAGAGGAGGAGCACCAGGAGGAGGACGAGGACGAGAACGAGGAGGAGGAGGAGGAGAAAGAGAAGGACGAGAAGGAGGAGGCAGTGGTATCAGTCGCCGCGACGTGGGGCGCCTTGTCGACCCCGACGGCGCAAACGCAGAGCTAGGATCGGGCCGTGTGTGCCCTGTGCGCTTGGGCGCGTCGCGCTGTCGTGAGCCCGATGCGCCTCCGAGGCGTGTGCGCAGGCGGAAGACCCTGAAATCACGGCGTTGTGATTCGTCGTTTGTCCGGGCGTCTGCGCCCGCGTTCGTGCCCCGGCACCATCACGGATCGATCCAGCAAGAGAAATGCCGCAGGAAGATGGGGTCTGGGGCTGTGGTTGTGTCGTTTTGTTCGTGAAGCTGCAGTGTGCTCGCGACGTCGGATCGCAGGGGAGGCCACGGCTTGAAGGCGGCCCGGGGTTCGGAATTGGTCAGGAGGGGAGGATGAGGCCAAATCCGCTCAGAATCGACACGTACGTAAAGCAATGCGGATTCGAGCTCCAGGAGAAGGGCAATATATGCGAGAAAGCGCGCACATGGTACACTCCCAAAGGGGGGGGTCACCCTTTAGGTATCCCCCCCCCTTGGGCATCCCCCGTGGGAAGCCCTCCCCTCCTTCCCTTTCGCGCTCCAGAAGCTACCCCGGGGGGCTTAGCTACCCCCATCCCCTCTGAACCCTCCATTCCGGAAGCCCCCCCCCCTCCGTTTTTTCCGCTCCTTGGAGGCTCCCCACACGGCCCCCCCTTTCGCACTCCGAAGTTCACCCCCCTCCCATTCCAAAGGGGGGGGCTTAGCTCCCCCCCCCGCCCTTTTGGGCTAAAGAAGGGGTGCTTGGAAGCCCCCAGTTCTTTGAGCTAAAAGAAGGAGCGCCGAAGACCAAAAGGGCGCCAGAAACCAACCGAGCGCCGAAAGCCAAAGAGCCACCGAAAACCGAAAGGGAGCGAAAACCAAAGGGGCGCCGAAAACAAAAGAACGCCGAAAACCGAAAGGGCGACGAAAGCCGAAAGTGCGTCGAAAACAAGAAAGGGAACGCCTGAAGCCAAAGGCGCGCCGAAAACCAAAAGAGCGCCGAAAACCAAAGGTTCACCAAACACCACAATGGCGCGGACAACCAAAAGGGAGCCGAAAACCGAAGGGGCGCCGAAAACAAAAAGAGCACCCAAAAGCAAAGGGGCGCCGAAATTAAAACGGCGCAGGAAACCCGAACGAACGCTGAAAACCAAAGAGTCATCGAACCCCCCCCCCAAAAAAAAAAAAAAAAAAAACAGCGGGGCGCCGAAAATCGGAGAGGCGCCGAACAACCAAGAATGGCGCCAATAACCAAATCAGCGCCGAAAACCGAAACCCAAAAGGGCGCCACAAACCAGAAGGTCGCCGAACTTGAAAAGAACGCGAGAAACCAAAAGGGCGCCGAAAACCAAATGGTCGCCAACCACCACAGGGGCACCGAGATTCAAAACGGTGCCGAAAAACAAAGGGGCACCGAAAACCAGAAGGACACCGCAAACCTAGACGGCGCCGAAAACCAAAGGAGCGCCGAAGACAAAAGGGGCGCCGAAAACAACAAGCGCGCAGAGAACCAAAAGAGCGCCGAAAATCGAAAGGGCGCCGAAACACAATGGGACGCCGAACAAAAAAAGGGGGCGTAGAAAACCCAAAAGAGGACGAAAACACAAAAACAACGCTAACAAAAAAAAAAAGGGCGCCGGAAACCAGAGATGCGCCGGAAACCAAAATAGCGCAGAACACCAACTGGACACCGAAAACCAAAGGGGCGCCGATAGCCAAGAGAACGCCGAAAACCAAAAGAAACCAAACACCCGAGTGGCGCCGAAACCAAAAGGAGCGCCGAAAACCGAAGGGGCGCCGAAAACCAAAGATGAGCCGAAAACCCAAGGGCGCCGAAAAACCAAAGGGGCGCCGATAACCAAAAGGGCGCCGAAAACTAAAGGGGCGACGAAGACAACAGAAGCTCCGACGACGGACAGGGCGCCGAAAACTTCTTCTTTTTGTGATCTGCGGGTCGAGAGCGAGCCTCTTCCGATAGAAGCTAAGCGGGCCGCGCACAGCTTTAATTAGCAGAGTGAGGGCAAAAGAAGGCGGGGCCCCACGTCAAGGCCGGGAGAGGGCAAAGCCCTGGGATCAGGCGGTGCCGAAGTCGAAGTGCAGGAAAGCCTTGGACAGGAGCCCGGTGGCGAAGTCCCGGGAGGCGAAAAGCCGGTGGTGGTGCCGTCAGCGGCGCTTCGAGTACACCAGCCTCATCAACTGCGGGAGAGGATGCGCCACGCAACCAGGACG